ATACCATGTCTCTGTCCTACCTGGAAGTTCAAACACCCAGAAGGAAACTTGGGGTGGACCAACCTTAAAAGGTGGGGAAGCCTTCAGGAACACCTCCCAGGTGCTCTCCCTCCTTGATGCTAGCATTCGGCAGGAACTGGAGGCACATGTTACAAGTCTAAGAGTGAGGCACAGGTGGGGCCTACCCCTCAGGGTCCCCAAGCATATTAATATCTTGAAGGTGAGGAACTCTGAGGCTTCACCACCTCCACAGCCTGCCCTTCCCTCTTCAGCCTCCTATGACTCCAGGGCTAACCCCATTGCCCATGATGCCAAGGTCCGGGGAAAACCCACTCAGAAAGGTCCAGGACTGAAGGAGGTAGCACAAACTCCAGTTCCCACCCAGAGGAGTCCTCTCTCTGGCCCCTCTTTTGAGTCCCTGAGCAGAATTCCATCTGGTGACAACGGTGGGCTCCCAGATGCTCCTTCAACTGCACATGAAAGCAGCCTGCCCTCTCAGCCCCACACTTACATTCTCGTGGGCAGAACCTGGCACAATGGTACTGTCCTGGGATCTGCAAGAGACAGTCTGGAACCAAGTCCAAGCCTAGAAATGGGCAGACAGGAATCCCTGGGGACTGGAAGTATGAGCTCACAAGGCTCATGCCACAGCATGTCATCACTTCAGGTAGGACACCAACTTTTAAAGACTGAAGAAGTCAGAGAGCTGGAGGATGATGAGGAGGAGTCTTCTCAATGGGGAATCACCAAGGAAACCAGGAAGACTTCAAACTTCCCTAATGTTCATATTAATTCCCTAGGGAGTTTAGAATCTCAGGGGACCAGTGAAGGACCCCCCCCTTCTATAAGTTCTATTTCCCAGGGCCAAGAATACTCATGCCTGAAAGCACAGACTGAGCCAAAGAACCAGCCTCAAGAACTGGCTACAGGTGTCATCCTGCAAGACTTTGCCACTGACAAGTTTCATCAGGACTGTGCCCCTGAGGTGCTCCTGGCTGCAGACATCCTAGCTTCCCAGGAGAGACAGTCCAACACTCTAAGCATGTCCAGTAGGAGTGCATCAACTTCTCAGTGTGGACTCAGTGAAGACAGCATCCAGGACCTGCAGGGACCCAAGATCCCTGAGCTCCAGGATCCAGGGAAGAGCAGGAGAAATACGTTTAGGCCAACTGCCAAGAGGGCGGACAGCGTGAGGCCCAGGTCAGGAACACAGGGAGAAAGGCTTTCAGAAGGGAGGCCCTCCTGTGCTGCGGAAATGGGCCCCTCTGTCCCAGTTAAGGAGGTAGGGGACACTGTGGGGGACAAGTCCTCCCAGGCTCCTTCAAAGAGAAACTTTGGAGACAGAATAAAGAACTTTCTGCAAAATATCTTCCCCAGTAAAGCCAAAGAGCAGGCAAACTCTCTACCCCAAATCATGATCCCATCAACKACTACCCAAAGCCAAGGGTCAGTCACAAGCCAAGTGCTTATAGACAATGCAGTGTCAGAAGCCCAGGCACTCATGAYTACTTTTGGATGGATCATAGATCAGAAAATGATGTTTCATGATGAACATTCGGCCTCAAAGAAAAACACACTTAAAGAGGAACAGCAGGCCTCTATGGGTAGACAATCCCATTATTCTAGCTGTTCCTCCTCCCTGGAACAAAGAAGAGGGATGGGAGCTATGGCTCATGGTCACCAGGCCAGCCTCAGGGTCAGCCATCCTTTGAACAGGTGGATCAGAAACCCGGACAACAATCCGGCCTTGCTGCTTAAGAAGTCTGCAACTCTGCCCAGCCCCTGCCAGCAGAGGTCCAGGGTGGCAGGTATCTCGGGCAACAGTGTCCACTGTCCAAGGCACTGTGCTCTTCAGAGACATTTGCTGTCTCATCAGCATCAACATGCTTCCCACTCCTGTCCTGCTGGGAAGAAGTTTTTCCCACAATTCAGACCACACTGAGAGAAACTGTCCTCATGTGAGCCCAGCCTTTGTTTGATAATGGCTTATTTCTAATGAGGTGATGATGGCTTAATAACACTGTTTTCTTAAACCAGAGAGCCTTTTGTCTGTGTTTTACTTGGTCACAGGGAAGGGGAGGTCATGTGTGCTCTTTATTAGACTGGATTCTAGAAGAGACTGGACATGCAGGAAGGTGACAGTGGCATTGAGTACCCACCCTTATGTCAGATCCCCTCATATACCCTAGGAATTCATGACTTGATCATTACAGAAAAAAACAGAATGCCTTTGGGACTCGTCAAGATGGGGCAACCCCACAATGACCCCACCCTAAAGTCTAACAGAGCCTTTTCTCTATTCTGAAATTTGTGTGGCTGTAGAGATTGGGGTACAGGTTTACCATGGAACCTAGTAGGTTCCCATGTTCAATAAAGTTGGGGAGGGGGTAGTATCCAGGCCCTGAGTTCAGAGGTGGCTGGAGAGTCCTGCCTAGTGGATACCTTGGCGGGATCAGAGGACACCTGTCCTGAGAATCCCTGCCTTATGGAGCCTAACATGGAGATGGGCCTTGCCAGCTCCTTTTAGCTTAAGGTTCATGCTGTAGCCATGTCACCTGCTTTTGCCCTGTCTTCCTCACTTTCTAGAGCAGTGTCCAGAATAAAAATTGTAGATTGGTGTGTGTCTGGGTGGGAACTGTAAGTTGGCTGCTCAGGGCTGTTTCACTTGCAGCTCGCCACCTCTCAATCTGCCTTATAGCCGACACAAATATGCATGCACTAACCATCTGACAGCGGGGCACAGAGGACAGAAAATGGGATGTGAATTAAAATGGAGCCAAATAAAGAGGCAGAGTAACATGGGGATACCACAGATGATGTGTTTAGCCCGCAACCAGCACTGGCTTCATGAATGAAGGTTCGAAACGTCAGAAACCTCTAGGGAGTTTTGAATTAAAGAGACAGACTCTAATTACCTTTAAACAGGCTCCAGGATGGCTCCTCCTAGCTCCAGCCTCCAGCCACCTATTATGGTAGCATGGTTTACTGAAGAGGCGAGAGAGAGAGAGAGACAGAGACAGAGACAGAGAGAGAACATGCCTGGGAGTGGACTTTTATTGGCGAACAAAAAATTCTGGGGAAAATCCCATCCAATGAAGATTAAGGGGGGCAGTGTCCCAAGGTCAGGGGAGATGGTTGGGTCTTTGGGGTAGTGGCCAGACACGCCTCCACACGGACTAGCCCTGAGAAGGGTGGGGAAAGCTCTGGACAAAAGAGTGCCCAAGCATCTCTCATCCAACCAGGGAGGTGACTCAAATCACGTGCGAGGATGGCCTCCCACAGATGTGGTGGATGGCACAGCCATGGTGGATGGTGCCGACCTCAGGGAGGAGACATTATGGACTCATCCTGGCCCCACACAGACCACAAACCTGGAGAAGCCTCTTGAACAATGACACAGGCAAGAGAGGAAGCAAACCTTTTGGTAGAGAAGATTCGTTTCCTGGCATCATACTGAATAGGGCCTCATGTCTCTGCCTCTCTAATTACAGAAGGGATGAGTTATCAACTGGAGTAGTCAAGAGTAGGGAACTCTAGCTGTGACTCCCAGTTTAGGGACTTTTAGACATACACATGGCCCTAGCACTTCTTCTGCAGTGGAAAGGTGGGGACCTAAAAGGTCAAAGGGGTAGCTTGGGGTCACGACGCAAGATTCTCTAGGCTTCCAGGACTTGTTGTCCAGACTAAAGAAGAAGAGGTGGTTTGGTCAAAACTTGTCATATTAGGGCAGTGACTGTCTAAAAGGTAGGGGTAAGCTGGGTCTGGGGGTAGCACCCAGCAGACTTCTCTGACCGCACTCTGCTTCCAATACAAGCTTCTTCCCAGGGCCTGTCTACACGGGAAAGAGGTAGACCCCACAGGGGAGAGGAAAAGGCATGTCTGCAGAGTGTTGGATGCTGTGGCCCACCTGGGGAAGGCAGCAGCACCACTCCAACGCCCTCTGGCATTTTTGTTCCCTGATGGAGAGGCCTATACCACAAAGTGCCACCAAGGCAGATGACACAGGCATGAACCTCCTCTAATGTCTAAAGATATTCCATATGTAAAGCCAGGCAGTCCCTCCCAAGTGCAAAAACAGGCCCTATAGTGCCGCAGTCCGGCTGGGCAAAATAACCGGGAGGTGACAAGCAACTTGAAGGTTGAAGCGGGAACTGCTTTATTGCTGAGAAACTTAGCGGGAACTGAGTGGGAACTCAAGGTAGCGGGCACCCAAGGTAGCAGGAGCCGCCTTACTGCGGAACAGCAGGGGTATATATACCTTACTGATTACACACAGCTTGTCTCAATTAACATCATCTAGATACAGCAGTCAGCCAATAAGAAATCCCCATCATCTTAATGACTCGGTGGCGTGGCCTCACAAACCACTCCTCCTGGCAAACTGCCAGGCACCATCTTGACTTGATTTGTGGTCCCCAACACTATAGGCCAACTCTGAGCCAGGTCCTGTGCCTTTTTTGATCATAGCAGACCCCAGGGTGGGCCTACCATCAAGAACAGACCCAGGCACAGAATGAGCTAGAACAGAGTCAGGACCTTGAATCTGGCCCTGCTGGGCCCTCTCAGAGTCCAGAGACGTAGGTTCTCTGGGCAGCGGAGCTGGACGTGGACCTCAGGGATCCTGAGGGGATAATGCCACAGACAGCGACACTGATGGACAGCCAGAGGCACGAGGGAAGAAGTCCTATTGCCCTCTGCTTCTGTCAGCTTTGTCATCCATGAGGGGCAGTAATTCCAACAACCAGGAGACATCCCAGAGACCCCCACACAGACATGTCACAGAATCCTCAGTCAGACACAAGTAAGACCCCCTGGCACATAGCCCTTCACAGACCCAACTTAAAGATGGCACAGAGACCACCATAGAACCTCCAACACAGCAGACACAGAAACAAAGGACCTCCCTCAGATATAGCACCATGTTCAGGGCCCTCACACAGAGATCTCACAGAACCCCTGACACAGACCTCCCCAGAGGGACCTCTGACAGATATCTATACCAAGAGACCTAACACAGAGAATTCACACAACAACCTTTCACTGCCACATGGTCCTCATGCAGTGATCTCTCACGGAGACCTTCCACAGAGTTCCAGACCTTGGGGAAACATCCACAAAGATGTCCTCCACCGGAACTTATCACAGAGACCACCCAGAGACAGTACATAGACATCTCACACAAACACATTGACCTCATGGAGTGTCCTCACAGAGACCTCATACAGACTTTACACAGATTTTGAGAGACCCACAAAGAGATGTCACACCTCGGAATCCCCACAGGGACTGAACAGAGGCCTTTCACAGAAATTTTCTACAGAAAATCCCACATCATTTTTCCTTCATGTGAAACTCCTTAGCCAACTGGAAGCACAAGGACACTGGCCAGACCCCTGAGACACTGAGACACTGAGACACTGTCAGTGTGCCTCCCAGATGGCGTCTCTGCCTGGGAAAATCCTCAGGAACTTCTGTTCCTTTGTAATGCCGTTGCCTCTGAACAGAAGAACTGCAGATTCCAAGTGCGGACCTGAAAAATTCCTCCCTCTGCAGGTTTACACTAGCCTCAACTTTGACCCACAGTTAGAGAATCACAAATTTTAAACACGAATAAAATGCAGCCAACATCCAGTGAGGGAAATCATCTAATTTGTCCAGTATTAGTTATTATCTTCACAAATGTATAAAAGTCACTTTTTTTTGTTGTTTTTAATCTCATTAGAGACAAGAACTGAATTCTGGATTGTTGACTAGTCTGGAAACACGATAAACACCTATAGCAGATGGACTCTAGGGATGATATAAACTAGCAAAGAGCATCTGGACTCACATCGACCTCCCAGGGCCTGAGCACCCACACATTATCCTAGCCACCCACACAAACACAAGGTGAGCAGAAAAGACGGAGAGGAATTTATGGAGTTATAAATAAGTGAGAAAGTAGAATACAGAGAAAGAGAAGTTTCCACTAATAAAGTGTACAGCCTCTCTCCCCCACCTTCCCTCCCCCTCGCTCTCTCGCTCGCTCTCTCTCTCTCTCTCTCTCTCTCTCTCACACACACACACACACACACACACACAAATAGACCACAAGTTGAGGAACTGCTACACACTAGGTACCATAGTTAAAGTGGAATAAGTTGTGAATTAAAAGAGAAATAATATTCCTCTACTATGAATTATATAGTGTAGCACAGAAAATACAAAATTACCCCAAACCCCTCAGCCATCCAGCTGTAACTACCATGAGGGACCATAACCACTGGCTTCATCAGGGGAACTGTCAGACCCCCTCTGTACTGAGACTTCGCCCTCTGCCCTCATCCCTCAGAACACTGCTCCACAGGTGCAGGCCTGGAGCACATCGCGGTCTTCTGGGGAGACTGAGGGAATGCTCAGTCTCCCACAAATAGAAACAGATTGGAATGTCAGGAACACGAGTGGGAGACAGAGACCCCATGGACCCCCTGTAATACCCTCCTCATCTAAGCCCAGCATTCTTCCCTCCGTTCCTTCCTTCCCTGTTCACAGAGGCCCCAGAATGCCTACAGAGAAAGCCACGCCTTCCTCAAAATCCTCCTGTGCAATGCACCTGGTTAGAACAACCTCAGGTTCTCACCCAGTGTCTCAAAGTCCTGCAGGGTGTGGCCCCTGGGGGCTCTGTGTCCTCACTCTCACCATGACCCTCCCCCATGACATGCCACCTATGCTGGGGTTTTTCTTGATCCATTCTGGATGCTGTTCCTTCCCAGAAACCCTGCTTGATAACTCTGTGCTTGGAATGCCCACCCACCAATGCTACAGGGCTCCTTCCCTTCTCAATGGGCTTCTCCCTGAGAGCCCATCCCAAAGATCTCTCCCAGGAGAGCCAGGTCTGTTCTTCCTAGTCCATGCCCCTTCCTGGCCCACTGCTATCCACAGTATTTATGTATTTATTCCAGTCACATCCCTTTCCCTAAGTACAAGGTCATGGGAAGCTGTGTGCCAGAATCAGGCACTTGGAATATGTCCACAAATAAATGATGAATAGTACTCCAGTGAGGAGCTACAGAGTGTGGGTGGAGAGGCCTGGGGAGCTGAAGGAACTGTGCATTTGATTTGTCACAGAGATTACCAGGGCCTGATCCTAGTGTCCTGGCAGAACCCAGCTTTAATGACTGAGACCCATCACCTATCAGCCATTCTCTGTCTCCATACTTTGGACCCTTGGAGGTTGTGGTGACCACTTTTGCTTTCTGTGTCCACTGAGCCCAAGATCCCAGATACTCCATTGAGGTCCTGGTCATCCATGTGCAGGCTACTCAGGGTGGCTGAGACCAGGTGCAGAGGACCTGTAAGCAGTGGGAGCCACAGCACTGAGACCTCACTGGTCAGAGTAAATTGGTGAAATCAGCCCCTGGTACAAGGCTTTGATGTGTCTCAAGAGCCACATCCAGACAGGCCATGTCCTAGGCCACTGCCCAGCTCCTCCTACTCAGACCTGCTCCAGTTAGAGGACAAAGGAATAGTGATGACCTGGATTCATCTGTGCCCTGAGTCCTCTGGCTCTGAGCCCAACTGTCATAGCACATAACCTACTGGGGGCTCAGTATGTACTAACAATGCTGTCCTATCCCCAGTGGCCCTAGAGTCAAAAGTCATCCCCAGGAGGATTATGAACTGAGGACCCAGACCCAAGATGTGGAAGGGTGGCTCTGCAGGGCTCCTGCTCATCAAGGCAAGGACAACATGAGGGTATGGCAGACCCCTTCTGTGGGAACATGGTGCATGGTTTCCTTGGGTTTCTTTCTAGTTCACCTTAGAGAGTTCTTGGTTTTTATAGGAGTTTTTGATACACCTCTACATTTTCTGCAAGTTAAACCAATCATATTCCTTATTGTCATTTTACTTTATTTCCATCCCATCTTTACATTTCTAGAAACCAGTGTCTTCAGAGATGGACCCTCAGTGACTCTACCATTACCACTTTCCCCTCTAGAGAATGCTCATGTGTTTTCCTATTGTTTACTCAGCATCCTCCCCAGACTCTGTCCTTGTGTCCTGGGCCAGGATCAGTAAGGACCTGAGCATGTGACCTAGAGCCACCATTGAGAGCCTCAGGCCCCAAGAACAGAGGCCTGTGCCAGAAGATTTTCCCTGGAGTGTGCATCAGGGTGCCTCAAATAGGTCAGCAGAATAAGCTGAAATTAAGTAACTACCACCAGTAACTTGTGTTCCATTGAGCTTGTTTCTTATCTCCTTCCATGTAAAGGAGTATTTTAAGGAAAGCACTTCAGAGTCAGCTGCAGCAGTGCTGGCCTTCCCAGCAAAGACATGATTTCAAAGGAAGGTCATGGGCAATGGAGATTAGCTGTGATTCATGACCAGGGAGATGTTTTAAAACATCAGCAAACCTGCTCTACTGGAACTGAGCACAACTATCACATGATGGGAAGTTCATTTTGCAGGTGATTCATTTGGATTTTAGCAACCCAAACAAACTATGAGCACAGTTTAATATGTATAAGAATCATGAACTTCCAATGGTGTGCACACTGTTTCATTTAATATCAGAAACAAATACTATAACTATTCCTGTTTATTTCCTCACTCTCATTTCCACCATAAAGGAAAGTCATTTCCATGCAATTAGGCCAAGGATGATTAGATTAAGATAATCAATCAAGAACTAACTTGAATGAAAAAAAAAAAAGCTGAACCAATTGAAGACTTAAGTAGAAGCTTTTAAAATATTTTATAAAACATGAGGTTTTCTGTTTTAGTCAGCTGTTTTTTTTTTCCGCTGCTGTGCCTAAAGGAACTGATCAGAACTGTAAAGGAGAAAAAGTTTATTTGAGGGCTCACAGTTTCTGAGGTCTCAGTCTACAGAAGTCTGGCTCCATTCCTTGGGGCTCAAGGCGATGCAGAACATTATGGCAGAAGAGTGTGTCCGAGGAAAGCATCTCACATGGTGATCAGAAAGTGGAGAGAGAGTCCACTTTCCAGATACAAAATACATACCCTATAGCCACTTCAACAGTGAATCTCCCTCCCGCTACCCCCTACCTCTTCATTACCACTCAGTTAATCCCTATCAGTGGATTGATTTACTGACTGGGTTAATAATCTCACAACCCAGTTATCTCTTCTGATCCTTCTAGCACTGTCTCACACATGGGCTTTTGGGGGATATCTCACATCCGAACTATAACGTTTTCCTATTGCCATCTCCTTTCCCATTGCCATCAGGATCCTAACCCATAGCCTTCTCCCGTCCCTTCACCATCTCCTGTCTCATCACCTTCTTCTGTTCTATTGCCATCTCCTGTCCCAGCAGTCTCAGGCCATGTTCTGTCCACCTGTCCCATCGCATCCCTCTCCTGGTAGCAGATGGCTGCCAGAGTCTCATGTTCTCCAACTCTTCACACAGTGAATCCCAGAGAGATCATGTTTCCCACCCACCAGAGGATGCATTCTGTGCAAACCACACATGCTTTCAGGTAGAGACCAAAGGTACCTCTTTCATTAACTCTGTTGTCCAGAAACTGCAGGAAATACTGGTGAGCAAAAGAACAGAACTGAAAATTTGTACATTGAGAACAAAAAGGTATCAGATGACCCCCTTTATTCTGTGGGGAGCACAGTACAGCCACTGGGTTATGAGCAGGACACTACCACCACCCCCCCCCAACCCTTCTGGAACACAAAAGTCAAACCACAGCAGCTTTCTGTTCCTCAGCAGCTTTTTTACCCAAGGTTTTGGGAGAGCACTTACAGCAGAAATGCTGTCAGCTTTTGTGTGAGCCTTCTAAACAGCAAGGCTCTGGTGCCCACTATAGGGACTCCCACTAGGCATTCTTCCATTTTATTCTTTAATTCCATCTCAGTCAAATTAAAACTAAGGAGCCTGTATGACTCTTTTCTCTCAGCTCTTGCTCCACCATGTAGTCAAACCTCAAACTGACTCCAACCTTATCCTGGCCTCAGGCCCCACCACTGGCACAGATTCAGAACAAGGGCCATCTCACATTGTCTCCCCAAATCCCATCAGCCATTCACCTCTGAATAGTTCCTGTTGCATTTCGTGCCCTACAACCCTACAACCCAAGAAGGGGATGCAATGTCCTGTTCTAATTGCTGTTTAACACTCAGAACATCACCCTTTGAAGAATCAACTAAAAAGTATGAGAGCTTTACCCTATGTGAGCAAAACATCTCAGGAAATCTTTAGACAACTCACAGCCAGCACATGGCCTCCCAGAAACACAGTCCACTGCCAGACTCCCAAGTTATTTTATCACTAATTAGCACCAGAAGAAACTGGAGTAACCACCTTTGAGAAGAGGTTCACCCAGCACTGGTGTGGAATATTCCATAAGATCCAGCTATCTCCAGACCCAATGGAGCCCAGGGTAAAATTGCCAATATGGCAAAAGACAATTATGGATCTTTCTGGAGTTCCATGATTCTAGATGATAGCAGTCAGAAGGGTAGGGAACCTAGAAATAGTACAGGTAAGGAAGTACCTGGGCAATGTTCTGGGGGCATAATCTGAGAATGATCCTAAAATAGCTTCCCAATGAAGGTTCTAGAAGTCATCTCTGAGACAAAGTCAGGAAGGGACTTGATCAGATTCTCAAAAAGTGACTCAGGAAATGATTCATCAAGAGATCCAGAAAAGAAGCATACAGATACCTTGCAAGTTCATTCAAGGAGGAAGTTGGAGCAGATCAAAGGGGCATGATTCCTGTGGGCAGGTGTCATTCAAGGTTTGCAACCTATCAGGTGTCTGCACCACCTGAAAACTCAAAGACTCACAAGGAACCTGGGGATGGACCATCCTTGAAAGGTGGGGAGACCTGCAGGAACACTTCACGGAGCCCTCCCTCCTGGACGCCGGCACTCCTCAGGTGCTGGCAGCACACATTAAAGTCTCTGTGTGAGGCACAGGGGGGGCCTGCCCTTCAAGGTCCTCAAGCACATAAATCTCTTCAAGTTGAGAAAGTCTCAAGCCTCAGCCCTTCCTTTGTTTGCCCCTCCCTCATCAGCCTTCTGTGACTCCAGGGCTGATTCCTTTGTCCACGATGCCAAGGTCCTGGGAGAACCCACTCAGAAAGGTCTCACCCTGAAGAATCCTCTCCCTGGAACCTCACTTGAGGGTCAGAGCAGGACTCCATCTGGTGACAACTGTGGGCCCTCAGAGGACCTCCAACTGGACATGGGAGCAGCCTGCCCTTTCAGTGCCCCCAGTTAAGTTCTTGTGGCCACAACTTGGCAGAGCAATACCATCCTGGGGTCTGGGAGGGGCAGCCTGGAGCCAAGTCCAAGCCCAGAATAGGGCAGACAGACAGGAGCCACTGGAGAGAGGGGTGTGGGCTCACAAGACCGTGCCTCAGCATGTCAACCCT